AAGACCTACCCACATACCAAATATCATCACAATCCACAAAGGCCTTCTTACGTTATGCTGACCACAGGTCACACAGCGACAGGCAGTCTGAATAAACAAACAAACAAACGAACAAACATTTATCAGCTACAGGTCTGGTACCCCAGCTCACACAGCGACAGGCAGTCTGAATAAACAAACAAACAAACATTTATCAGCTACAGGTCTGGTACCCCAGGTCACACAGCGACAGGCAGTCTGAATAAACAAACAAACAAACAAACAAACAAACAATTATCAGCTGCAGGTCTGGTACCCCAGGTCACACAGCGACAGGCAGTCTGAATAAACAAACAAACAAACAAACAAACAATTATCAGCTGCAGGACTGGTACCCCAGGTCACACAGCGACAGGCAGTCTAAACAAACAAACAAACAAACAAACAAACAAACAATTATCAGCTACAGGTCTGGTACCCCAGGTCACACAGCGACAGGCAGTCTGAATAAACAAACAAACAAACAAGTATCAGCTACAGGACTGGTACCCCAGGTCACACAGCGACAGGCAGTCTGAATAAACAAACAAACAAACAAACAAACAAACAAACATTTATCAGCTACAGGACTGGTACTGCAGCTCACACACTGACAAAACAAAAACAAGAGAATTCATCAATCTGCAACAGAAGTACAATTATCGATGGTTGTTGCTGACTGTGTCTCTGTGTTTCTCAATAACTACTTAGTGGACTGAGGAAAAATGGTTGATGACATGGGTTGTCTGCTCTAGACAAGAGGGTCTTAACTATGTAAAATTGGACGGGACTGTATTATCATATCTGTGTACCCGGTATAACACACCACCTTTGCATGCACGCGGCTTGTCACAGGAGGGGTTGGCAGGCCACGTTTTAATCTTGACGGATTAATTTTGCGGACGTAGTTTAACCTAAAAGAAAGTGGATTCAAAGACATTGACGGTGCATAAATCCAACATTACATCGAAAAGTACTGTTGATTAATGGATCTTAGCCTAATGTGGTACTTGTTAGCCTATTAGTAAGTTATATGGTGTATGTTTAATTTGTGTATCTTTCGGCACCCGATATCAGCCATGCTGCCTGGGTGGCCAATGTATTGCCTCGTTGCAATTGAATTAAAATAAGATAAAAATACATGATGGCGACGTGCGGCCCAGTGCTTTCCCGTTGCTGACATACTGAGCAGCTTTATTTATCAACTACAGAATCCGCCTGTTCACGTGTTAAATCAATACAAACCGAACCGGGTCATCTGTCAGCGGATCCCGGCGTGACATCAGGCGTCCATCTTACTTCATTAAGTCGCTATTAGCGAAATAAGACGTATTAACTGGAGCTTACATGTATAATGGGATGTAGAGGACTTAAGACTCGGCGTGCCACTTTCCTGCCAGGACTGACCATGAGCAGAAATCCCCCCTGGACATATTTCAGCCATTCAGCCCCGTCGTTACAATTGCGACTGGGAGAAAAAACGGACCGAGGCAAGAAAAGATCAAAAGAAGTATGAAAAGTTGGTGTAGAGAGTAGCGAAGGATGACAGAATTAAAGGAAATTACCAACTAACGTACAGAGGAAAGTGTGACATATTGGAGCTACTGGAAAGATATATGTCCACGGCTGTCCAGGAACCTCAAGCATACGCTTTTCGGCTGTGTTTTATTGAAGCCTTTTGAAAAGACCACAATCGGAAACCGATAAACAAGGATTGTTGAAACAACCTGTTCTTTAAGTGCTTCTGGAAGACAAATGTGAAGAAGTAAAGAAGAAGAAAGAGAAATGACAGCATGACTGGACGAGACAAATGTGCATGTGGCAATGTGGGAGTAAAAAGAGGCGGCGTAGAGTGGGGAAAGATACCCCTAGCCTCAACCCAGGGTTGCAAATTGTTATCGGTACTCCTGTGGCGTATTTTAGTCTGACTACTTTCTACTATATTTCCGCAACCTGAAGGGACTGAAAACGAAGAAGTAACGACAGAGCGTTCAGCTCGGAACCAAGAGATCTCGGGTTTGAATCCTGCCATGCCACCGATCTTTTGTCCGTTAGAAAGGCACTTTACACGAATTTCCATGCTTTACTCATGTGAAAATGGGTATGCCTGTCCTCTGCGTTGTTGACGGCATAAGAATTCGTTGCCATGTCTTGTAATAAATATGTTGGAATAGAAAATAAACCGCCTTGATCAAACTGTCGTGACATTAGCCCCCCAGGGAGCCAGTAACTAAGGATCTCTTCTCACGTCAGGTTTGTCCCGCTTTACTTTGACGGCGGCAGTTTTGTCTCTCTTTAGCCTGACAGTGTCCCTCTGACGGCGGCCTTCGCGTGTTCATCCATCTCTCTCCCGGACAAACCCCCTGGTGAGGGGATAACTAAGATCTCTCCTCACGTCAGATTTGTCCCTCTTCATTCAGTCTTTAGTCTCCACCAGCCTCCTTTGCAAGTGGAATAAATAGACCTAAAATAATGTAGCTGGCTATGGGAGTTGGCCGGCTATAGAGGGTCCAGTTTGCCTGGCCAGCTACATTATTTTAGGCCGATTTCTACTATTTATTCAGCCCGAAAAGGAGTCTGTTGGAGGCTAGGCGGCCTGCGCGTGTTCATTCATCCCTTTCCCCCGGACAAACCGCCTGGGCAGGGGATAACCAAGATCTCTCCTCACGTCAGATTTGTCCCTCGTCTGTTTAACTGCGCCCCTCTTTACTTTGACGGCGGCCTGCTTGTGTTCATCCATTCCTCTCCCCGGACAAAATAACTAATATTTCTCTACACTTCAGATTTTTCCCTCGTCTGACTAACTGCTGAAGATTCGCCCCTCTGTAGTTTGACGGCGGCAGATTTGTCTCTCATCGCTCTGACTCTGGCCTGCTTGTGTTCACCCATCCCTCTGCCCGGACAAACCGCCCGGATCACGCCTCCTTCCCGCCTGTCAGCTGCCGAGCAGAGATAACAGCTCCAAACCGCCGCTTCACCAGAACCCCGAAACGCCGCTTACACAGTAACAACAGACGCCAGCCCTCCCGCCGGGCCATTATGCCGCGGCTATAGAAGAGGAAGGGGCTGACATATTCCTGGTTTCACGGATAACAACCGGGTAGCAGCGGCGGAAATTACTGTGCCTGACCCGCGCCCTTATCACCACATTTCCTGCTTGGTGCTGTAGTGTTACACAATGGGGCAGCGTTAAGGCTGGGGATGAACAGAATCTGGTTTGGCCGGTCTGGACAAAACAGCGGCGGCGGCGGTACAAGCTGCCGGGGCAGGCCGCGCGAAGCATACTGTGTGATGAGTAGGGTCGGGAAGGAACTGCGATGATAACATTGTTAGCTCGGGTAACGTATAGGCCATTCTTTATTTTGTTCTGTTCCCGAAACAAAGAAAATCTGAGGAGCGATACTGTGTGGTTTGTTCGATAAGAAATGGTGCGTAGTTTCGGCATTTAAAAACTGTTTGCTGATAAGGCTATTTACTCGCTGCTTGTTAGGGAATTAGGTCTCCGCCTTACACCAACAAAGGGAAAAGAACCCCCACTAAGTTATTAAGAAGTGAACGCCTATCAGTAGAAGCACCTGTCTTTGTAGTACTCCGTAGGCGTCCTTCTATCTCGAAAGATGATGGTAGCACGCTGGTGTAGTGCTTATATTCCTGGTAAAGAATTTAAGAAACAAACCGGATGCAGAAAAGGCATTTAGCGGTGATGATTCAACCCAAGGAGGACAGCATAGTGTCTGCAGTCTACTTTAGTTCAGTTTAGATATCTGTTGTTTCGTTTTGTGTTGTATTGTTAGGGTCATGTACAGTTGCATAAAAACGGAGTGCAAGTGCAAGTGCCAAACTTTTGGAACATTGACAAGCTTTTTCATTCATCTACGCGTCTCCTATTCTACGGTTTCAATTTGGGTGGTAATTAGGAGGATCTGTTGGAGTTTTTGTAACATCTGTTGCACCTCATTGTGGTAGGCAGGAGGGTCTGTTGGGGGTTTCTGTAGCCTCTGATGATGATGACTCACACCGTGGGAAGTAGAAGTGGGCGATGTGTGGGTGTGACACACGATGATTCATGAAGAACTTAACCAGTCAGGACAAGTGCTTAGTTCTAAGTCCTGAATAGGCTTTAACTAATATAAACAAGATTCAAACGGAAGTTAACTGTTTTGTCAGCAAGCCTTGAAGTTGTACTCGGTTTTTCATGCGTAGGCGAATGTAATCGTCGGTCCAGAAACTTCTCTGACCACTGGAATACTGCCCTGTCTTTCTGTGCAGATAGTTATTGAAGGTACATCAATAGACTTACTGATCATTAGTGCATGGCGACTGCTGTTCCTGAATGTTCCATTGCTAACGCAGGTTGTGTGCAAAGATCTGAAGGTCTGTCAGGAGAATGGCCGTGTTGAGGAAACTCACTGCCAAACGTTTTACACTTCACATGTTCAAAGAAGTGCTTTGTTGGTGGCTGTCAAAGCTTTTGGGAAACACTTCAAATAGTCTAGCTATGGAGTCCTGCAGCTTTGAAGGCACTCAGTGGGGCAGTTATATCACACCGAATGGCCTGCCAAGCATAACCTTTACACATCTAACTGTACGCGTTGTTCAAAGCTATCTAATGCGAATATCCCTGTTGTAATTGGTGACATAAGTCTACACGACATGAAGTCAAACTGTTTGAAGTGTCCAGAGAGACTTCAAATGGCTTTTCGGGTTCAATGTGTTCTACATTACTTATTCACATTGACATGGAAGCCGAATGAGAATCAAACTCTTTCATGTGTTCAGAAAAACATCAAATAGTTTTTTTTTGTCTACCTCAGAGCGTTTTTCCCTTTTGTGCGATACGCACACTTACAGGGTGACGGATGTGATGGGTCTGAGGCCAAGGTTTGCACACAAGACGTTTGAAAGACTTAGTGAAAGTTGCACAAGACGTTTGAAAGTGAAAGTTGTACTCACCTGAGACGCTGATGGAGTCACTGCCGTCTTTCTTGGAGAAATAAGCTGAAAGACATGATAAAAACGTCCTGTTAAAATTACTCTTGTCAGGGATACCACAGTGATCAGACTTAAGTCTCTCTATCGTCCTGGAAAACGAAAACCAGAAGAGGAACATAAAAGAAAGGAACATAAGACCATCAATCCGGCGTATAAAGCCTTTATCACTTATGTATTGAGTCTCTCTATCGTCAAGAAAAACGAATGTAACCAGAAGAAGATATTTAAGCTTGATGTAAAACAGGAGAACATAAGTCCCTCCATCCGGTGTATAAATTCTTTATCACTTATAATGTAGGAACAGATGAGATGTTGAGCCGCCATCACGGCCAGTGTTAGTGTACAAGGCGCCGGGGGTTGCGGAATTGTTCACGGTTCATTTGTTAGACTTGGGAAGGACCGGGGCTATTTCTTCTTCAGAACACATACAGGGATGGATTCAAAAGGTGTAGAAAGTGTGATGAAAACTATGTAAATGGAGGAAGACATCAATGAGTGAAGGAAGAGGGTGTTAACAGTAATATTATTGATGGAACATGTACGTCAATCTTCCGTTTACTGTAACTGAACGAATCTGTTCTGGATAGTCCACACGTTCCAGAACTGTGCCTAAGCCGAGTTCTTGGATACGCGGAGACTATCCAGAACCGTTCCTGACCCTAACACTAACTCATACAGGTTTAGCACTTTGTAGGAACGATTCTGGATACAATAACCGCCAAGCCCCCGGGATTTTAGATCGAAACCTGTGCCTGAATGGCGTTAATCTGCCGGGAGTGTCTCGGCTGACCCGAAACCTGACTCTATTGTCCAGCAGCTGTGTGAGTTGTGGGGAACAATGGACGCTGAATCACCGGGTTACTGCCGAGATCGATCTCTGCAGGATGGGAGCCGATTCTCGGTTATCTTAATGAACAGTTTTCCGTTCCTCGGCACAAGGAACTGTCCGTGGTGCCCCTGTACACTTGAAGAAGCCACACAGGCGAAACCGGTCGTGTGACAGGCTGAATAAAAGTTCTAAACGGGAACTACGCGGCTCCAGAATGGCTTACTGAGGGACGACTGCGTGTGCGAGATGTCGGTTAGCTGCAGGAATGAACCCCCTCTACTGTATACTACATGGTGCCGGTACTGGTTAGAACTACTCCAGGCTAGGGCGTAACTATATGCTAGCTTACATAAACATCATCATTGCATCCCGACCTTCTCCAGACCATGGTTGGGAGTCAGTCGTGAGCATGGTCATATGTGCTTGAGAGTTGGTCGGCGAGGTTGCTCATTAGTCTTTAAAAGTCGTCTGCACTAGTTGGCTATGCATTTTGTACAATCGGGAAGTTGGAAAACTCATATTCTGTTTAGACTTGACTTGACTTGAGGTACGACCAGAGGAGCGAGCTGGAGCTACAATATGATGGATTCCAGGCTAACTCAGTGCCGACCTGGGTTGGGGAGCGGTCACTAGTTTGAAGCTCTAGCTAGAAGATTTATAACAACAAACTGACCCTGAATAAGGAGTTTCTATATACACGCAGGTAGGATCAGAGGAATATCGACCCACCTGCCTTCGCTTTCTCAAAGCTACCTTCGACTTCTTACGGTAGTACTAGTGTAAGCCTGTCAGCTTACCTGCAGACGGCTGTTCAGCAGCACTTAAGGATAAACTACGTATCTTCTACACCATGTGTTCGGCATAGCTTCACCACTTCAGACTCTTCTCCAACTTCGGTCAATACTAACCCACAAAACTAATGATCTACAGCTGTAGGGAATATCATATTTCACACAAAAGAGCCTAAACTAAAGCTAGCACAGGACGCGCTATCCCTGCAGATTCTACACAAAAGTAGGCTAGCGGTGTACGGGATTAACCTATCGGCCCGGCCTTACACATCTACATCTGTATAAACTGGTGTGTTACTGGTGAATCCAGAATCGTGCCTTGACCGTGCCTTATCCGGTTCTGGATATTCCCAGCGTATCCAAGAACGTAGGTTTGCCCCAGGCATGGTTCTGGATAAGCGTGAACTGTCCAGAGCCGTGCCTAAGCATGGTACTTGATAAAGCACGGTTCTGGATAGTCCCCACATATCCAGGAACGTAGATTTGCCACAGATACGGTTCTGGATACACACATGCCCAGACCCGTGCCTGAGCATGGATCTGAATAAAAGCACGGTTCTGGATACGCGTGAAATATCCAGAACCGTGTCTGAGCATGGATAAATAGGCTTCTGGATAAAGCACGGTTCTGGATACAACACACACGACGAACTAAGACAGTAGAACACCATAGGTTCACCTCTGCGCGTCCTCAACGTAGATTTGCGCCAGGCACGGTTCTGGATACGGATGGACTGTCCAGATCCGTGCCTGACCATGGTTCTGGATAAATCACGGATACAACACAGCCCGACCTAAGACTAAGACAGTAGAACACCGTGGTCTCACCTCTGCGCGTCCTCTGCATGTAGGCCTCCAGGTCCTGTTCCTGGGCGCCTCCGACCGCCGCGAGGCACAGGACGGCCAGCAGGCACACCGCGCCGCACAGCACGAGCTTAGCCACCGACATGCTGATGGAGTAGGGCTGGGTACCGGAACTTCTCGCTCTTTGTCGTTTCTGGGAAGGTCTAGTCGCCGCTTACAGCTGAGCTGTCTTCGTTGAGGTTCTTTCTTTGAGGAGTAAGTTTGGCTGCTTTGATACCGTCGCCTTATATGCCGTCTGAAAGAAAGCGCGAGTCTTCCGCCCACCTGCTTCTGATAGCGTCACCGCCCTGCTGATGCGACGTGAGTGTACCTGCCGCCGCGCCCTGCAGTATTTATACGGCCGCGAGGCGGCGCTGCGAGATAAATGGCACCGCCGTAAGAGTAATCCTGATGGATTAGCCTCCGTAGCAGGCTGTTTGGGGATTGAAATTATATTTGCCGATGATTTACTAGTCCTTTTCTGATCGTTGCCCTGTTCTGATCACGATCCTTAGTTTCTACAGCACTTGTCACAGGGCTCTTCGAGTAGCCTGTTCGTGAGGCTAGCGCCACCTGCAAAAAAACGCCCTCCAAGTAGCCTGTTCCCGACACTAACACCACCTGCAAAAAAAGCTCCCTACGAATAGCCCGTTCCTTAGGCTACAGCGCCCCACACTTCTGCCTGTTCCATCGCACCGTGAGGAGGCAGTTTGTTCTCAAAGCTAACAGTTCTTGCAAAAAAGCACCCCCGAAGCAGCCTGTTCCCGAGGCAAACGCCACCTTCTAAAGAGCACCCTTCGAGTAGCCGTTAGGAGATAATCTGTTCCCGAGGCAAACACCTCCTGTAAAAATAGCACCCTCTGAGTCCCCTGTTCCCGAGGCTACGCCCCACACCTCAGCCAGATCCATCACGTCATGAGGAGGGTGTCAATCCCATCCTTCCCCGCGCGCGGGACCAGATGACGAAGCCTCTCCGTAACTCCGGCTATCTGTACCTGTATCGCCGGTATAACCGCCCTTCAGTGTAACACACAGGATAATCCTGTAATGTAGAACATAACCCCCATACTACATCTGAAGTAATCTCCGGACACATACTAGAATCCAGTGCGATTTTCTGGAGTTTTCTTTACGGCTTTTATCTTGGAAAACACACAGACCACAAAAAAAGACTTACAGAATGACGCAAAAAAACACAAGCCGGAATCTACCATTTGGAGCTGAATTTTGCCATTGTCTTGTGCACTTATCGGCAATGATACGATGTCATTACTTGGGTCAGCGTAGGCAGACTTAGCTATGGAGAGTCCCGGGCGCATTTGTGGAGGTTTTTTTAAAAGGTTTTTATCTTGGAAAACACACAGACCACAAGAAAGACGTACATAATGACGCAAAAAAACACAAGCCGGAATCTAACGTAGAGTCTGCTTTAAAATTTGCATTGTCCCTTATTGGCAATGATACAAGTCATTACTTTGGTGATCGCAGGCAAGCTTAGCTGGCAATGGCTGATTAACACATGTACAGAAGTGATGCAACGAAAACGTCAGTCAGTATCTACTTTATTATTCTCAATAGTCATACTAACAGTTTCAGGCTTGTTTGCAAGAGCAACTTTAGCGCGATATCTTTATTTTCTATTTATTGGTAATGATACATTCCATTACTTTGGTCAGCTAGCGCAGGCAGACTCAACAACAAAAAGTAGTACAAACGAATAAGTATATTAGGTTGCAACAAATGAGTAAGTCAGATTGATGAGGATAATCTGGTGATTCAAACCACGACAGGATGTTTTAATCTTACATAAAAAGGCACCAGTTCGCCCGTTAATTTGCACCCAGGAATCAGGTCATGTAAAAGCTTCAGCTATCAGTGGTGATGCCGGCGTGTCAGAGCTCCATTTCCCGCCAAATTTCCGCTGGATCCCCGCTGGATTTCCGCTGGATCCGCCCTGATGCCGCTTCAGGCATGATGAAGAGAAGGCTGGTTTATACAGATTAGCGCCATTCGTTTCAACGGTTTTTGTCGTCAGAATGACGCTAGCGCGCGCTATGAAGAAACAGTACAGAGAAAGCGGCAGTTTGGCACCTATTGTATCCAGAACCGAGCTTTATCCTGTACCATGCTCAGACATGGTTCTGGATAGTTCGCGCGTATCAGAACCGTACCTGGGGCAAATCTACGTTCTTTTGATACATGGGGACTATCCAGACCCGTACCTGATCCTAACCCATTCAGTCATATGGAACTACATAGACACGATTCTGAATGCGATATTGCCTTCGGCATCTTCCTCTGGTAGCTCAATGTGAGTTTCCTCCAGCTAAACTCTTAGATATGATGGCGAAATTACGATAAAGAATCACCCACTCATGGCTGAATGAACCTTTATTTGACCTGGAAGACCCTGTCGGTCTTACCCACTCTTCTCAGGGATCCTGTGAGGAACATTAATCTCAATTCCTCACCAGCAGGCAGCTGACCATTTCCTCGTCTCCTCCGCTTGCTCCATCAGGCTTGGCACACATCCGTACTACTGCATTGCACTGAGGATGTTTCACGTATTTGGACAGGTGTTTTTAAAAAGATGTGTCTAGACAGGTGAGTCTGAACAGGTGGATCTGGACAGGTGTACTTGCACAGGTGACTGTAGCCTGGCCAGACTGGGTCAGTGGTCAATACATGCTGAAGACAGATGAAATCTGACCGCAGCGGCTTTATTCATTCAGTCATTGAATTTTCAAATGACTGTGCGGCCCATTTGATTATGACACATTGATTTTCAATGGGACGCAGAAAACAAAAACGAATAAAAAACATCAGTATATCAAGGAAAATAAGCTTATGCCAAAATGGTAACAGAGGATTGTGAGACTGACCAAAAGTATATATAAAGAAATATATCATGTGGTACATGAAAGTGAAGAAAGCGAAGAGAACAAAATAATGAAAATCGTTATCTGTTTCTAAGCGATTAATCAGTCTGCTTGTCGATAGGAACATCATTACCCTACATAAGCTCGGCTTTTGTATCTACGATGTTATCCAGTTCTATGCTTATCTAGTTCTATACTGAATGGGTTAGGGTTAGGATCAGACACGGTTCTGGATAGTCTCTGTTGTATCCAGAACCGTGCCTATCTAGTTCTGTGCCTGAATGTGTTAGGGTTAGGATCAGGTACGGTTCTGGATAGTCTCCGCGTATCCAAGAACGTAGATTTGCCCCAGGCACGGTTCTGAATACTTGTGGACCATCCAGAACCGTGCCTGAGCATGATCCTGGATAACGCACTGTTCTGACCATACAACAGTGACTACAGTAGCCGATATCCGCCCCACATTAGCCTGTAGATCCAGGATCCATCACGTCTGTCAGGTTCTGTCATGCCGTACTCCCGGGATCTCCCGATCCGTTACGCGGGAAGTTAGAGAATAATAGTTGAAATGAAAACCTGTCCTGTGGCTCGTGGATTGCCGCCAGTAATCTTCAGTGAGCCTTGAGTTATGAGCTTCGTTTTCAGATATATACGACTGTGCTTACAATAACAACTCTCTAAGAGTTATGTTGCCGTCCCTGTTTTTATTTCGTTGTCGTGGTTATCAGCCCGTTACTTGGTTACGTGTATTCTGTGAAGTCTTCAGTCAGTCCTGGCTAACAATACAGGGAGAAAACGCATTGCCAGAACAGTTTGGCCATTATAAACTTGATTTGCCAATGAGAAATTTCATCCTTACAGTGGGTTCCCCTGCCCAATTATTCACCCTTTTGTGTTGAATTGTACTATCCATACCCCCCTAGGAAGGCCTGGTGGATGCTACTATTTTCTTCCGAATTCTTCTATACATAACACCATGGGAAGGCCGGCCTGGCAGAGGCTATGTTCTGCTACTGTTGTCACCCTGTTACCAGGTAGCGCCATTGATAAGACAGTCACCAGCAGCAGTATTATTTAAGACTATGCTCACGAGTTTTTGTTTTTACCTGTTAGTAACAAAGCCTTTGGCATCACCTTGATATACAACTGAGTTTATCAAAACTACCAACAACTCATCCCACGCCGTCACAACTGAAGACGTCATATTCGGCCTTGCACATGTAGGGATAACAGCAACACCGCGATTATAACGGTATCAGTTGCCATTTCCTGAAGAAAATGCTTCTATTTCACATTACACACGTAGGTCCAACAGCAACATCATGTTGCCACTTCCACAAGTGTGCAGCATCAGTAATATATCAAGGTTGCCACTGAAGACACTGGCATCTCTTTGACATAAAAAGGAGTTTATGAAACACCAGTAACAACTCATTCCACGCCGTTGCCGTTATTTTCGGCCTTACACGTGTAGGGATAACAGCAACACCGCGATTATACCGGTATCAGTTGCCATTTCCTGAAGAAAAGGTTCCAAATCCAGGCTTTATGCGGGTAAGACGGAGACGCGAGACGCGCGAAGCTCCTTCAGCCCGCAGACGGCAGATATCACAGCCCGGAGCCTCTCACTGAGCCTGCGTACAGCCCGGATAAAACAACATGACGTCACGGAATTAAACCGTGCCTGCGCAGGCGTGAGAGTGGGCAGTAAGCTTCAAGCAGAGGTGTGGGGCTTTGGATTACTTTTGACACCTTTTTAGGCGTTTTTATCGGGCGTTGTTTTTTTGTGTTTCGGTATGGTTTTCCGCCAGCCAAACCATGGTAATGTTTTGGATGCCTTTACCTTCACCTTCACCTAGTCCCATCCTCATGTCTGAGGGTCCAGTCAATTTGATACTGCCTTGCCAAAAATACTGTCCTGCCAATTTGATACCTGCCAATATCTATTTGATACTAATGGTAATGATACTAATGATACTGATACTAATGATAATGATACTGTCTTGTCAATGTGATACTGTCCTGCCAATGATACTGTTCTGCTAATTTGATACTATCCTGCCAATGTGATACTACACAATTTGACACTGTCTTGCCAAGGTGATATTTTCTTGCCAATTTCATACTATCCTTCCAATTTGATACTGTCCTGCCAATTTGATACTGTCCTGCCAATTTGATACTGTCCTTCCAATGATACTGTCCTGTAAATTTGATACTATCCTGCCAATGTGATACTACACAATTAATACTGTCTTGCCAAGGTGATACTGTTTTTTACTAACTGTTTTCGCCAATATGATACTGTCTAGCCAATGTGATACCGCACTGTCGACACTACATGATATCTTCTTGGAGTTTGGTCCACAGGAGCGCTGAGGACTAAGAAGACTCTCTGTGTTACAAAGATAGCCACAGGATCACCACTGGGGGGGGGGTATCTGATATATGTTTTTGCCTTCACATGACGTCAGAGTTGTAAGCCCATTAGCCCGGTCGCCGTTAATCCCGCCATAAATCTGCTAATCCCCAACACGGCGGATTAACGCGGATTAACGCCTCCTAATCCTGCCTCCGACACCTGGGGACTCATGACGTATGCGTTTCCAACAGGTTCGCGTGTTTGGGTCAAGCCTTTTTTTTTCGGAAAGGGACTTTTGAAAGATCAATGCTTTTTCTCAGTCGGTTATGGTGTAAGACGTGTTTACTGTTTTCCAGATGTTTTCGGAAAACTATCCCTCACACCACAGTTAAGGTTCAAACCGAAACCTCTCTTACAACAAGCACGGCTGCACCTGCTAACTGATGAGGGTCATCTCCAAGCAGATCATACGGTGGTCAGGCAGTATCCATTGGACAGAGGAGTGACCATTAGCCGCCGCGTACCGGGGTGGCCAATGAATACTGCCTGGCCAATTTGATGTTGTCTTTCGTACTTGGCCACCGAAAGATCTGCTTGGAGATGAAACTGAGGGTATTTGTGGATGTGCTGTACAACTTTCAGCTGTTATTGTTGAGGAACATGTTACGTAGATCCTTTGGAACAGTCAGACTTTGAAGTGAAACCCCGACGACAAACAAATCGTCTGTCACTGTGCCTCGGGTCATGCAGGTCACTCCATGGAGGCGTAGTTATGAGTTAAATTCAATTCAATTCATGAGATGCTTTTCTTGTTTCAGAGAACCGGTGCAATAGCTCAATTGGTAGAGTGCTCGCTTTGTAACCGGGAGGTCGTGAGTTCAAACCCCGGCCGGGTCATACCAAAGACTTTAAAAATGGTACATACTTCTTTCTCTGCTTAGCACTCAGCACATATGAGAAAGAGTGTGGGAAGGTCAAACACACAGCACTACCAGCGGACTAGCCCCCTGCTGTAGTGCATTGCACAATTGTGTGTCGCCCAAGGGCTACGAAATGGAGATGGGCACCACCCTACGCTCGGGCAAGAGCACGGGAGACCTTCTTCTTCCTTCTTCTTTTCTTGTGGGCATCGAAGCCGGAAGTTCTGATGGTCTGTCAAGGCTTTGATCTATTCCAAACCATTGACTTCTGACCACTGTCCGTGTCTTCTGTAGTGTCTTAAAGAACTAAAAACGTCGACCTTTCATCTGCATGTTACTTTTGCTAGGGGACCATAGAATTCTTCCAAGGTCTTTTCTATGAAGTGCATGCCATGAGTCACTGGAAACTGCTGAAAGAGCTTGTTTCGCCCACGTCTTATCAAACTGAGACATTCTGACGTCTGAATGATTTACAAACATTGACATGTAAGTGCTCTGCTGAATTACTCGCTATTCCTTCAATAAGAATTGTTCCGCTTTTTAAAAAAAAGGCAGCCTTGCAAAAACCTCAATCCTTTTAAGTCCGTCGGCCTGCAGAAGTAGATAATAGCTGGCGCTCATTGGTCGTGACGACACACGCCGTCATGCGTGGTTCACGTGATCGCCGCGTGCCTTTGACGTGTCAGATGCGGCCTCGTCACCCTCACTGGTCAAACGTGTGTTATTGTTGATCAAAGGACAACAGTCAAGGCTATGGTCAATGGTCCACTGGCACTGGAGCTTAGCAATGTTTCCTGACAACTTGATCAGCCTTTCACCATTAAAGCAGGAAATGGGAAATCAGGACAGAACACCCGCTCAAGTGTCTTAACGTTTTATTCCGTACTTTTATGTCGTGGGCAAAACATCATCTTCAGCTATTCTGGGAAAATCCATGCTCTACAACATTACAAACATACAAAAGTGCTATAAGCCTCATGGCTTTATTTCCACTCCTTCATGATCTCTTTTGTACGCGTCATTTATAATATTTACTAGTAATTCCTTATCAAACGTGTGCGAATAAACAAACAATATAAACTAAAGAAATATGCAGAGTTTTCTCACTGCAACACATCACTTCTTTAGTCGAATGCAGATGACTCAGTAATCTCAAATTATACTTTGAAATTCATTAAATGACTATTTGCAGAAATAAGTACAAGTATTCTGTTTCAAAAAGCATCCACTTTGGTGGCCTTGTCGTATGGCTTATTCAGCTTACTCCAATCACTATTTGTAATATAGTGATTTTAATATGATATTTCCACCTCTATTTTAAATATGATATGTCATTACTTTTATCTGAATACTTGGCACGACTATATGTAACGAGTGATTTTAATCGTGATATCTCTACCTGTATTTTAAATATGTTATTATGTCACTACCTGTTATATTAATGTTTACCAGTTCAATTCAGTGCGAGTTACTACTTACACTGCGAGACTGTAAATGTTTGTTGTGAAGCAACAATAATAAACCAATCTACTACTAATCACTGCATCTGGCAGATGTAAGACATTAACATCTGTATCTCCTGCAGCACCACAGGCTTGGCGGGGTGGATGTTGTCCTGATGGTCCCCTGCTGACGTCATGTCCCAGGCGTCCAACCAGGCCACGGGAACGTCCCGGAACACTTCCCTCTGTATCTGGTCCAGCTGATATCCGTACCTAAGAAGGTAAACCGAGACGGGGGGCGTTACAAGCTTATCTCTGCACCTGGTCCAGCTATTATCTGCACCTGGTCCAGCTGCCAACCGTACCTGAAAATCATTAAACCGAGACGGAGGGCGTTACAATCTTCCTTCTGCAACTGGTCCAACTCATATCCGTACCTGGTAATGTAAGGTAAAGAACCTTCATTTAACCGAGACGGGAGGCGTTACAGACTTCCCACCACCTTTGACCCGGTGCAGTACGTCACACTTCCCTTTGCACGCGGTTCAGCTGCCACTCATTGAATATGTGGCTTGCTCAAAATCAAAATGGTCAAAACGCATAAGAAAAACATAGTGAAAGATTTAGTGTAAGAATTTCCAAGAACGTTATATTCCAATAATCTAATATAGATATTTGTGTATTTGTTTGTTTATTTACCAGTCACTAGTGGTGATGACGGGGTTCCAGCGGGTGTTGGCAGACTTGATCACCACCAGCGTGCGGGGACTCCTGGCGAGCAGCCGCAGTACTGCAGCCCGTACAGCCAGCATGCGGTCTGCGTACATACTCAGGTACGTCTGCGCGAAGTGCGACCAGATAGACAGCACCAGTACTGTGTCTCTTCCGCCTGGTAACCTGTTCAATGAAGGAATGGATGAGTGAGTGTGTGAGTGAGTGAGTGAGTAAGTGAGTGGGTTGGTATGAGTAAGTGAGTGAGTGCGTTAGTGAGTGCGTGAGTGAGTGTTCATCACTTTACCCAGACATACATACAAACTTTATCTATTTTTTTACAGAAAACATAAACGGAAAGTAAGTAACTACATAGAATCAAACAAAGTGGACGAGGGATGGAGCCTGAAAAGCTTGGTCATTGTGAATACAGCTGAAATAATCAATAGATAAATAAGAACAAATTAACCTGTCGATGAGGTCCACTTCATCCACGATGTCCGTGACGTTGACCCAGCTGAAGGTCCGGACCGGGTGGCTGTGGAAGTTGAACTTGATGCTGACGTTCTTCTGTAGATAGAAAAAGTCATTGTCAACTGAAGTGGCGCATGATGCCGCTTTAGGTAATAGCATGATGCGACTTTCCTCACAACTCGCGTTTTCGCGTTTTCGCGTTGTTGTATCCAGAACCGTGCTTTATCCAGAACCATGCTCAGGTAGGTTCTGGATAGTCCACTTATATGCAGAACCGTGTCTGGGGCAAATCTGCGTTCTCGGATACGCAGAGACTATCCAGAACCGTGTCTGATCCTAACCTTAACCCATTCAGGCATAGAACTAGATAGCTAGGCGTTGTTCTGGATTCATATGGTTCTCTTACCTCTTGATGCCTGACATGTAGCGGTCCGAATTTCGGCGGGACGTGTTTCGGGGTGAGGTCCTGCACGGGAAGGTTCGCATTTAGGTAGTAGAACAGCTGCCGCGCGGTGGAGTCTCCCAGGATCTGTACCGTCTTACCGGCAAGGCACCTGCGATGGGTGGAATTATTTGGAACGTATGCTTAGTGTGCAATAAAGGTGTTTAGAAGTCAAAGAAATAACCTTCCTTGTCAAGAATTGGCATTCTCAACCATCAGAGGTCCTGATTCGTGGACAACCTTCACTGAAATCATGGCAAGAATCTTGGAAAACGTCTTTAAGGTAATATTAGAGTCTGCCCGAGAATACAAGATCTAATACAACGGAAAGAAAGGGGAGTAGATTGACAAGACTTGAAGCAGCAATACTACCAGGCGATACAAGGAACAGTGCAGTTCTTTAAGAAAGCCAGCAGTGGTAAAAAAGATATAGAAACAAGTTGGGGTCTGTACGGGCCACCAGGTCTATTAAACACTTGCCATACATTGTATCCATTGCAATTGTTGCGCAATAAAGATTGATTGATTGATTGATTGATTAATCTATATGGGTCTTACCCTAACCCACCCCTAACTTAGCAGCTTACTTCATCCACTCCTCAGGACTGTACTGTTGGTTCTCACACATGGTGGAGATATAGACGTCCTGTAGGTAGAACCCAGCCGGGGGGGTCTGGAGGGGGGTCCCGGGCCTACAGGGGGGTCTTCCGGGAATCTGCGCCGCGCACAGCACTCTGGGAAGCTGACGGGTCTCCATACATGCCTCAACGTCATTCCGCTCTGCAGAAAAATGTGAAATCAGACATTTGGGGTTTCAATGCTAATAACTCAATGCTTATAACTAATATGAAAAAAAAACTCAATCGTAGATATCGTCCAAGGCCCCACAGTAACACTGTAAAGCAAATTTACTGAGCTCCAGGGCCTACACTAGCTTTAGAAACATACATACTAGATAAATGAATGGATAGATACATACATACGCCAGGTTTGCAATGAATGTTACAATCTGAATGTTGGCAAACCGTCACAACTTGTCTTACCGATGTCATGGACCACAATCTTGTCTGGACCTTCCGGGTTTGCCTTGATGGTCTTCTTGTAAAACGGGCCGCTGGTAAAAAATATCAAGAAACCGTCAAGTAGTTCATTTTCTCTTAAAATTCTTTCAGTTTTAAGGTAGCGATGACCGCATGAAAGCTCTTTCTTTTTTATTCGAATTGCAATTATAGCAATGCAACCAACAAGTTCCTTTGCTTAGACAGTGAGTCACAACAGCAAAGATTCGACTATGTGGCCCAGAGACAGGGGCGGTAACCACTAGACCATACTTACGCACCAACTGGTTCATAGCAACAAATGTATGCTGGGCCCCATTGGAAAGCAGCTAGCTGATCAAGAATGGGCTATCCAGCCGCTTTATGATAAACTAAATAAATAAGTAAAAAATATATATATAATGTACTACAAAACACGCACTTTTCCTCCAGCAGACGCCCCTCCTCCGCGGTGACGTTGGGGAAGTTCCTGGGTAGGAAGACGTGAGACACGCGGTCCGCGCAGGTCATGTTAGCCGGCTTCTCACAGAACCACCAGATTCCTGGAATGGAAGGTGAGTAAACGTTCCTGAAATCTTGGTAGTGCCAAATTTCCTGCAAGGTTGGTGTCATCAGTATCAAGTCAAACTACAAAGGTAGTATTTGCAAAGCAAATGCATGATGTTTTCTGCTCTTCTGCATATGGTCTGCTCTAGCTGTTTATTCTTACTCAAACACATCCACACGTATGGTGACAGGAGTCTAAATCCCTCGTACTATAAAAAAAGGTAACATTTGCAAAGGAAAGCAAATGCATAATATTTACCTTCGCATCTGGTGTGCTCTATTCATTCTTAGTCAAACACAAACACATCTATATATATGGTGACAGGAGTCTAAATCCCTCCTGCTATAAAATTGCAACATGATGTAACCCAACACTAGTTATAATTACCATGGTAACAAACGTCTGGTTCTGGTCATTGACCTTATATGTTTGGAGAAGAAGAAGAAACCGAGCAAAAACAATATTTTTTCTTTCGTTAAACATAATACTAGTAACCATTTGGTACACAACTGCACGGACATGTACGTGTGAAGATCCTACCATGTTGCTGGTTAGAGTAGTCGCATATGTTGTCCGCTGGTTGGTCCATTTTAAGGTTGCACTTGACCTCTTGCTCTTCATCGCCTGCCCGGAACTTACTCCGGAAGCGGAGCAGGAGAGGGGAATCACTCCGTAGCCTCCTCAGCACGGACACGGCTTCGCTCGGGTGCACCAGCATGATCTAATTAAAATAAGGGAGAGGAGAGGGAGAGGGATGTCACTCCGGAGTACGGAGATAGTTTTGCTTGAATGCACCAGCCCAATTTAAGAAGACTCAACATGACTTGTTTTCATCTACCGATCTGGAAATCGTTAATATAGGGTAAATGACGATGTGGACAAACGTATGTTTGCGTTTCCACACTTCTGGTCCATTTCAATTTTAAATTTTATTAAGAACAGTCTACATAGCAGGGGTACGTAGTACTCCTGAATTGTGTGGACTTTACATAAGTATAGAAATGCACAAGACAATTACATACAAAAGTGGGACATGAAACACTAGAACACTAGGTCTGCGTTTGGCTATTGTACAATCTGATTGTGCAATGGAGGAACGAGTTGTACAGTCTGTTTGTCCGTGCCTTGGGCACCGTGATTCCCCCTGAGTTGAAACACCTCCCAGTGTGCTGTCCGACCTGGCTCCCGGTACCAAATCGTGTAGTGGGTGGTCAGGGCTGAGCATGCGCTTGAACAACTTGACAGCCGCAAGCTCACGTCTTTCGCGGAGTGTTGGGAGGTCGGGAACATTCCTCCTTCCCCCCAGAGAGATGATCGTCAAGGCTCTCCTCTGCACTCTCTCGAGGGACAGTTCCTGTTTCTTACTACAACCCACTAGGAGCACGTGGCCGTACTCCAGCACAGGCCTAACAAGGGCTGTGTACAACTGGATGAGGTCAGAGACACTCATTCCTTGTTTGGTGAGTAGTCTAAGGAAGTGTAGCCTCCGTGAGGCTTTCGTCACCATCGAGTTGACCTGCTCGTCAAAGGTAAGACCTTTATCTAAGATAAAACCTAGACCTTTTGCTGAGTCAACGACTGGCACTGGTTCTCCCCCAAGGGTCAATGTAGGTGGCACGGGAACACTTCTGCAAAAGCAGATCTGGAGCAATTGGCTCTTCTTGATAAAGGGTTACTAATGCGCAGTTACAGAAACGTGCAGTACATCAGGGAACCGCCTTACGGCGCTGCTTACCGACACGGTCACCTCTCCCGGCCACAGCAGCCTCAGGCTGGCCGTGTACGTGCCGTTCCCGTGATCCTCCACGGTCCCCACTGCGGACGTCCTGCAACAAACACATCAGAGCTTTGCACTCACGTGACTATGACGTAGCATTGTGCGCCATGTTGCATGCTTAAACCTGACGGTATTTTCATGTAAATCTACGATAGCTTCAATACAAAATCACATCCGACAAACTCCCATATGTCCTATATCCTACATACTTATGGCAAAATCTTTCTCATCAGAACTGTCAAAGATTGTTTAAAGAAATGATACCTGTTTTCCAGAGTTTGTATCTTCGCTCGCCAGAAGTCGCCTCCAAATGACTTCTTCTGCCCCTCTATGTTAACTGCCTGGATTTTCACCTGAAAACAGACCAATCAAGGATAACAGCGTGGTCAGTTGCTTGAGAATGTAAGTGGTCAATCGAGTTATAAGACTGATCTCAATCATAAGTGCCTTCCAATGAACGTATAGGCTTATATCCAGAACCGTGCCTGAATGGGTCAGGGTTAGAATCAGGCACAGTTCTGGATAGCCTCCGCGTATTTCAGAACATAGATTTGCCACAGATACGATTCTGGATACGCCTGGACTATCCAGAACCGTGTCTGACCTTGGTTCTGAATAGAGCACGGTTCCCGGATGCAACAGACTGACGTGAAAAAGCTCCCCCATGCGTGACTAAGTGGTACAGCAGCACTCACCTTGACAGTATCCCCGACTCTGTACGATCTGCCCGGTTCGTGGATACAGAACCAGGACTTATCCGGGTCCATCGGCAGGTTGTAGTCCACCCTGTCCGGGGTTGGCCAGGAGTCGGCCCTCTGGAGGAGCTGGGTTTTGGACGGAACCAAACGATCTGCTTGGGGAGGGACAGGGTTGGCGTTCTGGGATCTGTTGGTGAGCTCTTCCAACTCAAGGGCTTCGATGTCAACCACACCGTTCTGGTGGTCACCGATGTCACCTGGAGGGAGTAACGATATGTTTGTTTAGAACTAGCACCTGCATAGTAGGGTTAGTACAGGAAAAAGTGTACCATGCAGGTGTTTTATCTACCTACATGTATATATATGCGTGAATCCCGTGACTCAGAAGGCTTGAATGCATGTTAAATAAGGTATATAAACTATCCGTTAGCGTGCTGGTAAACAAAAAGAGTTAAGACTTAGTCTAGTAAAACATTGAACTTAATTCCAACACAGAGCGATCAAATTTTCGACGACTACTGTCGCCTTCATCAGGATAATTAATGACCAATCACTTTACAACGTGATCCCGCGAGAGTTACGGTTTACAAACACGTGACCTTATTCACACGTTAAGGGTTAAGACTATCACCAAACCATAAAAGCCTTGTAGCCATGCTGATAAGGCACTCTTATTCGCCAATAACGCACCATTTAGCGGGTGTTTATTCCCCAATAACGCACCTGTTAGCGGGTGTTTATTCCCCAATACACACCTGTTAGCGGGTGTTTATCCACCAATAACGGACCAGTTAGCGGGTGTTTATTCCCCAATAACGCACCTGTTAGCGGGTGTTTATCCACCAATAACGGACCAGTTAGCGGGTGTTTATTCACCAATAACCCACCTGTTAGCGGGTGTTTATTCCCCAATAACGCACCAGTTAGCGGGTGTTTATTCCCCAATAACGGACCAGTTAGCGGGTGTTTATTCGCCAATAACGCACCAGTTAGCGGGTGTTTATTCACCAATAACGCACCAGTTAGCGGGTGTTTATTTCCCATAACCCACCTGTTAGCGGGTGTTTGTTGCCCCCCGCCGTCCGGACCCACTTGTTGTCCCTGTGAGACCAGGCCAAGTCCTTCATACGGTCATACCGGGGAATCCCCTCCAACACCTTCCCTCTGACGTCATGACTGACGTCATAACGGGGGATTCCCTCCTGCACCTTCCCGCTGACGTCACGTTGCCCCTGGTTACGGCCTGCCTGTTTTGTACCCTTCTCGCTATGAGGTGGCTACATGTGGATGGGAAGAGTTGTCAGTATTCCGAAAGCACCTGAAACATCGACAACCTGCGCCTACGCTGCCTAAATGTTTTGTGTGGCATTTTACCTTTAGATAGGAGACAAAACACACAAAAATACATGCAAGTGAATGATCTACTCCGGCAAGATTGCTTTTTTGCACACAAATTCTTTGACCAGCCTTGCTTAGAAAATTAGCCATAATACCCATGGATGATCAAACATAAATCGTGGGGTCGTGTGGCGTAGTGGCAGAGTGCTCGACTCAGAATCAAGAGGTCCCGGGTTCCAGTCCTGACATGTCATCGAATAAAAAAAAAACATAAATACTGTACCTCACATTCTACACCCAAACACACCTTAAATGTTTAGCTTATTCCCTGTGCATCTAAGACAGGAAGACTTTAAAAGCTCACCTGTCTGATCCCGTCATATCCTGTCCACAGCGTGAGTAGTACAGCTGTAGAGATGACGCAATACAGCAGCGGGTACAGTAGGGAGGTCCGCCGTATCAGGCGGAACATGGTGGAAACACTCCCAGAAATGTGGCGCGGGTTTACAAAATTAGTCTTTTAAAAAATTATTAATTGTCATATAGAGCAACCAGTTTTTACATAATTTACAACAGTTCCTGGTCGAAAGAACCTGTGTTACACTATACAGATAACATGATCAAGGAAGTAAAGTCCTGCTTCACTTCACACAGTGTTCTATATGTTGTTTTGCTGTCCGCCATCTTGATGACCTTCACCGTGATAACCTCAACATGTTTGTTGACTCTCCATGGAACGTCATTTGTCCAGCTGACGTCGTCAGTGTGTTTCTATTCTTTGCAATCTCGCCTTGATATATCTTAGAAAAAAGATATTTCTAAGATGTACCCAAAGTCCAGGTCGGAGATGTAGCTTGACCTCTTTAGCTTTGTGGCAGGATTGTCAGGGTCGCCAAAGCAGAACCGATTGCCGACAAGAATCTATGACCACCATGTCCGTCACAAGACAGCTGAAGTTTGCACGACACGACCACGACTGTCACACGAATGATCCCAATTTGCTGCTGTATGCCTGCCTGTCTGACTACAAATATTACAGAATGAGCCTTACATCACAGCAGTCATAGGTCACGAAATTCGCAATGGAGGGGGGGGGGTAAAACCGGTTGGACGCCCTGACAGTCTCACAAGCCTGGCTGTGCAGTCAGGTGGAACGGGGTGACTTGTAGGTAGACAATATCTAAACAGTGTTTACCTAACTTCAGATTGTTTGAAATTCTGGCCTCCTCTGAAATTTTTTTCCAATCATGCGACTAAATATATGGTCGATAGGGTTGTAGCTATTTCGTATAATAAGTTCAGGCGATGTCGAAATCCCTTTAGGTCTGAATACTGTACATATGCATGCAGACAGTAGATACATAGTGACCATGTGTCACTCGTCTCTAAGTTAGGACACACTGCATGACAAATGTGAACACACCTTAAACTATACATGGATACCTGTACCTGAATAAAGTAAGATCTACCTGTGAACGTCGAAAAGCCAGCTGAGGACAGACAGTTAAAATGCGACCCACGAAGACGTTAAAACAGGCTTGTAGCCAATTACTCCCATTATGACAGGTAATGGGGCAACGACTAATCGAATGTCCTTGGTAGAAATGTGTTTCCGTTGCAGTTTGTGTTTGGGTGGGATATTGGATGGGTTTATGAACAAAATACTAGTAGCCTGAACCAGGAAAGTTGTGGATGTATCTTTATGACATTTGGTTTGCCGGTAGGCGGTGTCTCATTTCATTGAAAAGCTTGCTTAGGCCACGTTAAAAAAGAGAGATTTGATGTCGTTATTGGTTTGTATTTGCCAACTAGTTATACTAAGTATTTCTGTCTACACTACATATTCATTTGGACCATATCCTTTATTCCTGAAGTGCCAAAGTCGCATGGTTGGACCGGGGGCATCCCGGACACCTCGGCGGGCCTTCTTGCCGTCTGGGCGGGCCTGCCTGCCGTCTCCCCCTGTATAACCCCCCGGGCCATCCCGTCACTGAGCTCTGCCCTCTCCCCCCGTATAACCCCCCGGGCCGTTCCGGTCACCTGGGCGGGCCTGCCTGCCTTCTCCCCCCGTATAACCCCCCGTGCCATCCCGTCCCGGAGCTCTGCCCGCTCGATGTAGGTCTCGTAGTAGCTCTCCAGCTCGATATCCTCCTGCTCTGACTTGGCGAACAGCAACAGCAGAAACAGCATGCTGCAGCCATAGAACGTCAGCAAACCTTATAAGGAAATATACACCTTATAAGGAAATATAAACCTTATAAGGAAATATACACCTTATAAGGAAATATAAACCTTATAAGGAAATATACACCTTATTAGGGAAGTGCGTGGAACAGCAACAGCAGAAACAGCATACTGCCCCCGTACAACGTCAGCAAACCTTATAAGGAACTAGAAAGGCCAATATTTGCTTTGGAGCAAATACAGCGATGGGTTCACCACATTTTACGACATGGCAGGGAAAGAATGAGAAACACAAGGGAAAACAATGATTTACATTGATATAACTATAATATGAAGTAACATACGACTAAAACAACAGTTGGATAGCTATTCCCTACTTTATTGGTTAGGATTTTTAATTGCATAATGCAAACTGTTGATTTTCAAAATAAAAATAACGTTCACGCCCCGCATTCCAATGCTGGAGCAGGAAAGCTTGAAATACCTACCAAAACCCTTGAATACAGACATACTGTCAGTATGGAGATGCTCTGTGCAGATGTTAATCAAGTTAAATCCCAACAGCCAATCAGCAAGAAATGCTCTGTGCAGGTGGAAATGCTCTGTGCAGGTGTTAATCAAGTTAAATCCCAATAGCCAATCAGCAAGAAGAATAGAGGAAAGCTGCATGCCTATTGGTTGATGCCCTGCATTCCATTGTGATGACTCATACCCAAACGTGGTAAACATGGCACACTAACACAGTAATACATTTGCTATAACACAGCCAAAAAACTCAAATAAAACCATTCTAAAAGCCTGTATCACAAAAATTTAAAAAACGCCTAGGGGTATTTGCCCACTGTACCTCCATACCAAATTTCAGGACCTTAGGCCCTAAAATGAAGAAGCTGAATCCATTGAAAAAATGGCAGGAGAAGAAGGAGGAGGAGAAGGAGAAGAAACACCAGAAAAAGCAATATGGTTTCACCTCACCACTTCGTGGTGTGGTGAACCCATAAATATACACCTTATAAGGGAAGTACGCGGAACGTCAGCATACCTTCTAAGGGAAGTACGTGATCGTGTAAGCAATGTTACACATGGAATATTTTGATAAAACTAGAGCCCGACCTACACATGTGTGTGTTTAATGTGTAGTGATGAAGACTGTAGTTACATAGAGCAGTTCAAATTCACATGATGACCTCCAGGTTTAAGCACCCAATATGGCGGGTAATGATTACGTCACGGTCTCGTGAGTGCAACTACTATACATGCAATAGAAAAAGAAACGCTACATTTGTCATGGCGCTAAAACGTACTGTACATGTGCATCCCTGCTTTAGATCAGCTGTGTCATTCACATGCAGTATTGGAATGTGAGGCCAAAATGTTTGCTACTAGACAAATGACAGACCGAATTTAGAATCACAAAACGTAAGTCTAGTTCTAGTTCTATCATATAACCTAATGACACTGTGTTGATTGTCATAAGAAAGAAAACAAACCGATGATGTAGAGAAGGACGTTCCCATCCGACAGTACGGAGCCTCCTATCGGCGCGCGTGCGCAGACCGTCCCGTTCCCCGTCAGATTGTAGCCCTCCGGGCAGAACGTCTTGTTCAACACGTCATAGAAATCCGCTGCTGGCGAGTCCGGTACCGCGGAGTCATTGAACTGATGTCCCTCCATCCTTTCCCTAGTTCGTCGCTTGAGTGTTCAAGAGTTCAACTGTTCAATAGATCAGTGGCGTCGGTGGCGCAACAGTTAGAGCGATAGACTCGGAGCCAATACAGTAGGTCCCGCAACCGGGTTCGATACTCACCATGCCCCGACGTTTTTCCCTTAGTTTGTCGCTTGAGTGTTCAAGAGTTCAAATGTTCAAGAGTGGCGTCAGTGGCGCAACAGTTAGAGCGTTGGGCTCTGAACCAATAGGTCCCGGGTTCGATACTCACCGTGGCCCGACGTTGTGCCCTTGGGAAAGGCACTCTACACGACTTCCCCACCTGTACGGTGGAGAAACGCCCACCAAGCCTCTTTGGCTAATCTGTCAAAATGTGCGTCAACAACACAATGCAGCATGGTAGCGCCAATGTGCCAACATCTGCCCATATGCCACAACACCATAAGCCTATTTTTCTGCAATGTTTTGCTACCTTCCACAGGCTATGATGACGAGGCGGCTTTAGAATTTGTACATGTTACATGTAGAGGATATTTATACATCTGCACCTGGTCATGTCCAGTCCATCTTGTGCCGTGGGCTGAGTGGTTCGTCCAGGGGGATCAGCTCAGGCGTGAGAAACTTTAATCCTGACATTAATCTCCCAGCAGGGATTATCACCTGCTAATCCCGATCCGTTAGTCCTAATCCTGCCGCTGACACTGATACAGATGACGCATGTCCAACAGGTTTGCGTCGCGTTATTGATCATTGGTTAATTAGTGGGAGAGAGGCGGCAATGCCTGGAGGGTCAACAAGCATTTTGTTGGGCCACTAATGCTCTTATATTATGGCGGTGCGATGGCCAAGTGGGTAGAGTGCTTGCCTTGCAATCGGTAGGTCGTGAGTTCGGTCCCCGACTGAGTCATACCAAAGACTTTAAAAATGGTACAAACTACTTTCTCTGCTTAGCACTCAGCATTTGGGAAAGGGTAAATAGGGGAGTAAAACATACATCACTACCAGTGGACTAGCCCCCTGCTGTATTGATTGCACTACTGTGTGGCCCAACTGTGCATTCCCTGTCCTTGGTGCTGAAAGATCGGTGTATAGATAAAACGCAATTCGAAAGGTAACATTTCCAAAGCAAGGGAGAATAAGGACAGTTGATACAGAAATCACAACATCCGCTAGATGTCATCACTGTAGCGTGTCGTATTTTTATTCGGCTTTAGTACGTGTTGAGGCACCCGAAGAATCACATGATTACGTTGCTAGCGCTTGTGAGAAACCTTGGTTTTTCTAACAATTACAAGAGCTTACAAAAGATACAAATATGGGCCTTTTGAATATCTCCAGTAGTACAAGGCCCTTTGTATGCATTTTATTCACTAACATATGATCATACGAACAATTACACAACTAGTGTGATAACCTTCGTTTCCGAAAGTCTCAAAGTCTCTAAGATTCAAATAAGCTATAAAAAATGCATATTTTCAAACACCACCAATGACGTAACGTAACATGATCTCACTTAGTCTAACCTCATATGCATTTCTGACAGCTCCACTGTGTTTAATGGTTTCCACTACACAGCTAGATGCACGATGCATGTCTTGTTGTTGAATGGTCTACATTAGAAGAACTTTATGGCGTGACATTAAGTCCTATTGTTAACTGGTTTCCAGTAGTTTATGAGGTTCTCTGTAAGACATATTTTAGTGCCGCCATCCTGCCTCGTTCCGGGTCCCGTGACGCACATATCAGGCTAATGCCCGCACAATTAACGGCACAACAGGCGGGACATTAGGGGCTATATCTAACCCGGGAACACTAATGTTGGAATTAATGGAAAATCCAGTACGCTCCAAGCAGATGTTGGGATAGGAGCTTGTATGGAGCGTTTGCTGGCTGCATCGCTTTTATCTGACAACATTTGAAGATTTGGGGTTGTTCAAATCCTGGCACAGATGTAGAGAATAGTTACATTAAGGGCTATATCTAACCCGGGGAATACGGTACGGGGAAATTAATGGAAAATCCACTACGCTCCAAGCAGATACTGAAATGTAAAATTAGAACGTTTTACGACTGTCCATGGTACATCCCAACATTCGTGTGTTTTTTTTCTTTCAATTCTAGGACAGATGTACGAGAACAATTTATGAGATAACAAAGCCATAAAGTGCGACTGACATGTCCGTAATGTTTATTAATAACTTAACGTGAGCATAGAACACTTCATTGTAACGAAACTATAAAATGTATTCTAGCTTTTGTATTCTTAACTGTCAGAACATCCACATCCAGTCTGAAGAAATTGAACCTGTACCTTAACTTCATTTGTTTCTACATATCTAATGCATGTTTATTTTTCTTGCATAGCTAGCACTAGTTCCTACCGACCTGTATTTAACCCAGTGGAGCACAGTGTTATAATCTGAGCTTCAGTCATTCCTTTGTTCTTAAATCGATATTTACGCAGCGACAAATGTGGGGCGTTTGTTCTGATTCCTGATGTTGTTCAGCATCAGTTCTCGAGTTACAGAGTATTCTGTGCAAAGATTGAGTGTAACACGTCGTTCGGTGTAATGTAGCCGGCTGCCGCCGCGCCGCGTGCCTGCAAAGCTGGTGTGTTACACCAAAGGGCTGTTATACCGGCTATACAGATACAGATACATCAAAAACAACACCGAGAACGGGTGAAATATTTGTCCCTTCCAAACAAGCAAACGGGAGGATGGATCCTGAAGACAGCCCTTGTTCTGATGATGCATTTCAGTTTTACATTATTAACTGCATTTGTCGGATCACTTCAGCCGAAAACGTACCCACCGACCCTATTTTTCAGGACTGAAAACACAACTTTTTACAAGGCCAAACGGCTCTCATTCATTCCTTTGTTCTTTAATCGATATTTATGCGGCGACAAATTTGGGAAGTGTTCGTGCTAATTCCTGGCGTTGTTCAGCAGGATCTCGGGTTACCCCAGAACAGACGCGCAGGACTCAGCAGAGCGACCGATCACAAAAGTCAATACGCGTCACCCGAACCGCCGTAATGAACTAATCACCGGAACAGCGCAGCGAATTCACAACACCCGGCCTGGTACTGAATTACCTGCACTACGGGACGCGGAGGGAGCTGGTTATTTAGCATAGTTATTTTGTTAGTACCTGTTAAAGACAATTAAGCAAAAAAGAAATGGGGTTGTTTCATGCTTTTTTTTTTCTCTACTAAGGGGTTGCTGCTAGCGATTATGTCGTTAGTTAACACGACCTGGTACCGAATCAAATGCACCAAGGAACGGGGAGGGGCCCTATTATTTTAGTTTTGGCACATTAATTTAGTTAGCGCCAGTATAAGACGAAGTAAGACAAAAGGTGGGATTCATATGTTTTCGTCTCTAGTAATAGGTTATATGAATACTAATACTAGCGATTATAGCATTACTTAGCATTGGTAAATGTGCTTAACGCTCTGGAACTGAATTACCTGCACTACGGGACAAGGAGGGACCTGGGTATTTTGTACACTCTACAATGATAAGCGCTTATTACTGTTCACCTTTCTTTCCACTTGTTCAACTGATTTCAATACGTTAGATCCTATAGATTAATTCAATTACATTCTCAGGAGAGATAGCCAGTACAGTGTTCAAATAGGAAAAACATTAAAGAATGTTTTAATCTTAGAGCCTACATGTTAGAGATGCTTTTCGAAATTTCTATTCATGGTGCTTTTTGGATCAGCTATAGGATAATCTGGTGCTTACCCACTTACTTACTCGTCACCCGAACCGCCGTAATTACCGAATTACCGGAACAGCGCAGCGAATTCACAACACACGGCCTGGTGCTGAATTACCTGCACTAAGGGACGGGTTCTCTCCAAGCAGAGGGGTTTTTTTATTCCAACGTGTAATCACCAGACGTGGTGACGGCACACTCCAGTTTTATCAACTTATATTAATGCCGCCACCAACACAGGGGACAATACAATACTCATTTCCACCTGAGCGAAGTGAGGAACAGAGGTTGTGGCCCCGGGAATGATCGTTAGCATTTTATATATGGCCGTTTTTGTCGCTACCTCCACCAACCGGCAACCTTCTCTGGCCAATGGATATTGCATGGCCAATTTGATACTGTCTTTTTGCCACCGAAAGGCTAGGGATCTGCTTGGAGATTAGGGACGGGAGGGACCTGATTGTTTAGCACATTTATTTCGTTAGTATCTGTATAAGACAAAGTAAGACAAAGGGTGGTGAGTTAGAGGGGATTCATCTATTTTCGTCTCTAGTAATAGGTTATATGAATACTGATACTAGCGATTATGGCAATAGCTAACATTCGTAAATGCGCTTAACGCCTTGGTATCGAATTACCTGCACTACGGGACATGGATAAGATGCCGTAAGACAAAAAGAAGTAAGACAAAACGTGGTGGTTTTGTTGTTGAGGTCCTCATTTAACGTCTATTTTTCACGCTAGACGTAGTCTCCAGGTGCTTTTCTTTTCATGGTGCTTTTTGGATCGGGATACTCTGGTGCTTATTCACTAGTGCTATGGATAGAGGTCAACTTTGATAGAAGCCAGTGAGTTGTGTTTTTTATATAATCAACCACGTAGGTACTGCCTATTCAGGTCATCATACACAAGAAAACAGTTACTCCAGCAAGTGGGTAGATTTTAACAACTGTCTGACGTTTCAAGTAGCATCCACTACTTTCATCAGTGGATATGGATGGGTTTTGATAATCTCCAAGCAGCATCAAATTGGTCAGGCAGTATCCACTGGCCAGAGAGGGTGCAATATGCCACCCAATGGATACTGCCTGGCCAATGTGATACTGTCTTTTGCCACCGTAGGATCTGCTTGGGGATTTGGGTTTTGATAGAAGCCCAGTGCGTTCTATTTCTATAATGTCCGTACTCCCTATATATTCAGGCTCACTGGGCTGGGTAATCTGGGTACGAGAGCAGGGATGCAGGTCACGCCCTCTGTCAGACATGGATGGATGGTTCCG